GGCTTATGCTTCACATGCAACGAGCGATATACGCCAGGCCACAAGTGCAAAGGTAAAGAAGTCTTTTTACTTGAGTTTGAGGAGGAACATGAGAGCGAGCCAGTTGAGGAGTCTTTGTTACATGTGGTCAAATGCAAAAAGCGAGGTCCGAAGATGATCACGTTTACAGCTGAGATTAGAGGCAAATTGGTGGAGGTATTGGTAGATAGTGGGTCCACGCTGGATTTTATTGATGAGGAGCTGTCCAAGGAGATCGAGATTCTGTTCACAAAGGTAAAACCTTTTGGAGTCAAAGTGGCCAACGGAGAGACACTTCGAGGCGATATACTTTTCAAAGGAGTAAAGATGGAAGCTCAAGGTCAAAAGATGAGAGTCGATCTATATGCCTTGCCATTGAAGGCGACTGATGTGGTACTTGGATCTCAGTGGTTGGAGACGCTTGGTCCAATCACAACTGATTATTGGAGAGGAACTATGGAGTTCGGGCGATCGAGTAAGCGAATCAAGTTGATGACCGAGGATCCAGGGGAGTCACCCGATGAAGATGAAGATGATGGTCGAGTCCGCAAGCTTAATTTCATCATCCTTGAGGACAAGGAAAGTCTCGAAGAAGAGGGGAATGATACAGAAGTGGTTATTAACCCCGGAGAGTCTGAGGACGAGACGATGGACGACCTTGACATTTGGCTAGAGAACATGCTCGAGGAGCCACATGAGGAGGATTATCGACCTTCTTGTAGGCGAGATTGGCCGAGAGGATGTGGCCCAAGGTCAAGAAGGCACAAGGCTATGCGAGCTAAGAGGCAACGCAAGTCGAGGACTAATGCGAGGAGTAAGTGGTGCGAGCCTTGTGCGAGGAAGCATCGTGCTTGGAGGATGGAGGCTAAGAGAATGGGTGCGCGAGGGGTGGAAGATGCGTGCCGGAGATTGCTATGGGATGACGTGCGAATGGGCGAGCACGAGCGAGCAGCACGCATCGGGACATGATGCGCGCAATGGTAAGGAGAGCACGCGGGCAGTGCTGGGTGCACACGGGTGCGCGACATGCGAGCAGGCCACGGGGGTTGGCGGTACGCGCGGAGCAGCTAGCACAGGTGGGTGCGCGGTAGAGGATCGGAGCGCATGGGCGCTGGGCGCAACGCGCGAAGTGCGGGAAGACAGCGCGAGCGGGACGGGAGCTACTGGCGTGCGCGGCACTCGCGCAGGTGGCGAAGACGCGCCGGACATGGGCAGCGATGAAGGGGCGTTCCCAATTGCGCGCGAGTGGGAAGGAAGCGCGGACGTCCTAGTCCGCACGGGCGTAGGCGAGGAGCGAGAAGGCTGGGACCTTGACCGAGCAGGAGTAGGCATGCCAGACGAGGGGGCGCACGCGTAGGCGATAGGCGGCACGGGAGAGGTGCGCACGTGTGAGAGCTGTGTGCAGGACGCCGAGTCTGCCGAGGACTAGGACCCGCGGCGCACACGCATGAGGCGGTTCGAGTAGGGCGGCCGATTGTGTGGAGTGCAAGGCAAGCAACTTGGAGTTCAAGACTTGCTAGTTAATTAGGATTCTATTTCCTTGTTGCTTTTATTTACTTCTAGCATTATTAGGATTCTATTAGTAAAAGATGTTAGGAGATTTAATTACCTTAGGATTTATATTATTGCTTGGATTAGGAGATCTATTTAGACTAGGCTTAGATTTATTCTTGCACCTATAAATATCCATGTACTCTCATCATTATGAGATGTCCAGAATTGATGAGTTAATAGAAAAGGAACGTTGTGTTCAATCGTGTGTTTAAGCAAGGCCGTAGTGCATGTTTATCATACAACCGTGTCGAAGAGAAGGCCCTGAGAGCGTCTTGAAGTCACACTTATCGTGTTTAGTCGAAGGCCTCGAGTGCGCGATTATCCAGAAACGGCAGGCAAAATCACGATCCCTCATCACCGCCGCACCTCTGCACAACCGCTGCCGGAGGGCCCTATCTTCCAAACACCAGGGATGGTTGGGCAAGGGGAGAACCATGGTTAGACCGCCGTCATCGACCGTCACAAGGACGCCCGCGACGTCTGCCGAACACCAGCTGCTAGCGCCGTTAGCCTTTCCTCGCTCGCCATGGCAATCGCTGCAACATCGAGACCACTCGAGGAGGAGGAGACTGGAGACGCCACAGCCATGCCGTCGGGCTTAAAGAAAGCCAGATGCTCGCCGGAATAAGGGAGAACTAGGGCCGCCAGAGGAGAGGCATCCCCTGGGGTGATTTTCAGCTAGGGCAAGATTTGGGGATTTGTCGTTATTTCCGTTGGGAGTGAGGTTCCTTTTAGTGTCAACCGGTCTATTTTGTCGTATTTTGTTTATTTTTGTTTTCCTTATGTGTGTTTGTATTTTGTCGTATTTTCTTGTTTATTTTGGTGTTGATTAAGTCTATTTTGCCGAGCTTGGGAAAACGAGACGACCGAGTTGATCCAACCGATCCGAGCAAACTGAGCGAACCGAGCCGATCGAGCCACACGAGCCAACCGAGCTGTCCCAGGCCATGACTGGGTCCAGACGCACTCAACTGCCCGCGCTTTTATATAATATCTCTATCGTTTTGAAAAAAAATTACTAGTTTTTTTTCTTCTTAATTCGTATATATTTAATAAATAAATTATGTATAAGTTTTATAACTAAAACTTGTATAAATTGAATAATATATATATATGTGTGTGTGTGTGTGTGTGTGTGTGAAGTCAAATATATTACATAAGATGTGTTAGTTCAAGTGGCGAATAAACCCCTTGGATAGGCTACTGGTGCCAGGTTCGAATCCACCTCCTAGCAATTTTTTTTTTTCGTTTGCCACGCAAGCGTTATTTTTACAACTCAGCCAAAATAAAATATAAAAATTAAATGAATTTTTACGCAGGCGTAGCCGATCACTCTGACCTGCTATAGGCGGTCAGAGGACCAAAAAACATTTTTTTTAACTTAGAGGACTATTTCCAAAAACGGACCATTTGCGGGACCACATTGAAAACGGGGGTGACTTAAAGAACGAAAAAACCTTGTTTGCCGACAGAAGGAGGTAATTGAGCAAGTGCGATCTTAATATACGATAAAATGTGTGATGCATAAGCGAAGTTAATTTGGGAAGTTTGATGCAGCTAATTATGTGAATAGTTCAGTCAATCGCGCCTCTGTCACATTTTAGTCGCAGATCCTCTTCTTGCACATGTTTTTACATTTTTCCAGTTTCTTCTCATAAGTTATCTACTTTTCGTGTAAGCCCTAGGAAGGTTTTCCTCTCGGGAACACTGTACCAGAAATATGTGAATGTGGTTTTCAACATCATAAATCCCCAAAGTTTTTAAGAATGGAAATCCTCAAAGCAATGAGGCGGAGGAGCGTAAATTGAGTCGAGATCAACAACTGGCGAAAGCTAGTGGAAAATGATAGGGAGAACTACTTGTACGAACTGATCGAGCATACGTTGATCAAAAACGAGAAGTATGAAATTAATACATGAATCTACGATTGAGATGTGGAGGTAGACGATCTTAACCATAAAAAATACAAAATAAACTCCCAATCGCAGGTTCGCGTATGTGCCATCTAAGGGTTCGAGGAAAGAAGAATTGATAAATGTGTAAAGTGAATAAATATTATTGGTTGTGTGCCATATAAGGGTGTGAGTGAATGATACATGTGACCATGCAAAAACTCGACTAATGATGATGGGAGCGGTTAGGCGGTCACTTTATCGGTTTGCTTTACCAGTTTTGTTTTACACTCTACAGAGAGATCGACAAAAGGATAGAGATGTAAGCGTAGCCATGAAATTAATATATGAACCGACGATAGGATATGGAGGGAGACAAAATTAATACGTAGTGATGGGGACGTGGATGATTTTTTTTTTGGATTTCTTCATGTAGTCTTTATACTGACACGTAATATTTTAAGTTGCCTCAAAACCATTTATGTAGTATTTATTGATACGTAATTCAAGGCATGTAGAAAGGACTGTTCGAATGACGGTTTGATTAAGAAAATGAGAGTCATTATGCGAGTGCTTTGAATTGCAGAATTAATATATTTATTTCTTTTATTAAAAATGCGTTGGAACTGTGATCCGCATTACTATTATTTTTATTTTTTTACCAAAATATTCGTTTATTAGGCAAAATGGTATACACATAATTAGTCGCACATTAATTTATTTTAAATTCTATTCTTGATGAGTTCGTAAGCAGTCTGCGATTTATACACGAAAGTTGCTATGGCGCATATTTGTCACATAGTTATCATTAATTAAAAAAATAGTTGAAGCATTTCAGATACGCTCGTCAGACTCCAAAGAGATACAACTGTTTTGAGTTGCTGAAATGACTGTCCGAAGACGTGATTGCCTTATAAAATACGAGTAATTATGCATTTATTACCCGATAGTTTTTCCGACCCATATTTTTTGCATAATTATTATTTAATACAAAAAGAAAAATAATGGAAGCGTTTATTCACTTTTAGTAGTCAACGATTACTTTAATATTACGTTTACACAATTACACGTACAGTGATAAAGAACAAAACAAAGACGAAAGAAAGGTGAAATTTTGGCCTTCAATCTTGCGACATTAATGAACTAGACACTAGTTTATTTCCGCGGGTTGCTGACGACCAAACCGTGGAGGTGTCGTACATGTAAACAAACAGGTCCCAATTAGGGTTTAGGGTTATATTATACCTCGAGATATCATATATGTTGTGCCACTTTGATCCCGAACCAGGTTGAACTACCTACATCGTGAGTTTCCTTCTCTTTGAAGCTCCGGTGACTTGCACTTCTGGCCCTAGCCACTGGAGAGGAGAGTTTTGACTTCGAGGGAGGCATCGAAGAGTGGGGTAGTTGCTGCCGGAGAAAGGAGGTTACCTGGGACTGGAAGTGAAGCAATTGGCCAGGTATTTACGGGCGGGTACAGGTTTCAGTTGAAGGAAAGCTGATGGTTATTTGGGTTCAGGCTGCCTATTAGATACGTCATAACAAGTGGGTCTCCCAGCTATCAAAGAATTTCTTTGAAAGGAAGAGAACGGGAATGGTGAAGCCGGAAGATCTTACCTTTTCAAAGTAGGCAAAGTGAGTCATGGGATAAGGTTCTCCCTCCCCTTTTAGCCCGGGTCTTGAAAAAGCTAAGGTCGAGTAAGGGCCGTCAGCTGGTACCGGGGAAGAGGTAAAGACCGACTGTCCAATAGAAAAGAGCACTAGCAGGTAGGGGGCTCTTAGCCAACGTTTACCGTCAAAGCCTTCGTATCGATCGAAAGGGAGGGCGGCACAGCCCCCAACCAAGGGAGTGCTTACGTCCAGTATGTCCCCCCTTATTCCCGACATGCTATGGTGCCCCAGGGTGGGTAGGAGCGGGTCGAGTCCGTAGCGCCGCGGAGCAACAGCCGCGTCCAGATCTGATATATTTACTCGACAATTCATCCGGTGACTTCACGGTCGCCAAAGAAGCCCCAATACGACGGAGGGGGTCCCGACGAAAAATCTCCAACGCTCAAGTAAGAAATTGCTCAAAGAGAATGTATAGAAAACTAAGACTTAAGGCACAATATGTGATATATTTATGAAGTATAACTTGTCACCATTATATAGTGTAGATATCTTGGTGCCCAACCGAGTCCTTGTTAGGAAAGAAATCCCATCAGATCATATTCCCTAACTTACCACGTCTCTATCTTGACAAGTCTCCTTAACAAGTGACACTTTCCTTCTTATTAGGATTCTTTCCCCCTTACCGTGCAGTCTTTAGGTCCCTAGCCGTAACCACGACCTTTTAACCTTCTTGATGCTACTTACATAGGTCGAACCTGGCTTCCTCCTGAAAGACACACTCAGCTGAATATGGTGCCTGACCTTTGAGGCAAACCCTAAAGATACCGAATAATAGTGTTGTAGGGATCTAGCAAATAACTCATGTTTTGGGGTAGCCCATTCTCTTCGAATCGTGATTTACCCTCTCGTCCGAGTACATGAAAGACATCAAGAGGGTAACCCCGGGTGTATAATGCAAATATGTTTTAGGTAGTCGACTCTTTTTGCAAAATTTTACTTTTTTAGATTTTCCCTCTCTATTTTGTAACTACCCTATCGGGAGACTTAATGGCTTCACGACCCAAATTTTATTGTTTTACTTCTCCATCAAGATTGAAACTTTTTAGCTTATTTCTATTTGTGGATGCTACTAGAGTCTTGGAGACTTAATTTAAGTTTCAAGATCTCGTATGTTATCTCGATTTTACTTAGTTATATTTCTGGGATATCTTCTTGAATAGAATAGAGTATCATCCTCGATGAAGGGACGACAAATCTTTTGGCCCAAATGACCAACTTTTGTCAAGCACCAGGAGAGATCTTCAATGAAGCTTGGGAGCAATTCAAAGAATTTCAACTTCAATGCTAATATAAGTGTAAACGCCCAACCAGCTGGAAACCACTTCAAGATCGTCTTCCTCGCTGGTAGAATGTCGAACCTGCAAATAACTTTCACACCGGGGGTTTTTCCGATGAATAGCCTCCAACGCTCAAGTCAGTCTTGAGAAGATGAAGAATATGTATGGAAAATATGTAAGTGTATGAGAGACTGTGTCTAAAATGAAGAAGCTCGTCCCTATTTATAGGGACGAGTTACATGCTTTCCACGCGCGGCTTGGGCGAGTTGAACTGATTATTCTCACTGCCTGGCCGTATGATCACCCGCCTCTACTATCTTGGTGTCAGAAAACGCGTCATATTGTGTCAGGGAATGTCAGAGACCGTTATCGCCCTAGACCACTCGTTGTGCGCCGCGTGTCCCCCTTTCACGTGCTGAAGATTCCCTCATATATTCTGATGTTCGACCAAGTCCGGGATGGTTGTTGAGCTGTCTCTAAGGCACGAAGTGGTCGATTACACGACCACCTCTATTCGACCATCTCTTTCCTAAACCAGATCCCAGTGAAGCAGGTAATTGCCCGATGCTACTAAACCTGCTCATCTTTATCTTCGACTTCTTACCCTTATTGCGAGTGTCCGGTTTGACCAGCCCGCTAACCCACTTTATTCGGTTGACCCGGCGAACCGGTCCAGTATACAATATCCCATATCAAATGCCCTCATCATCTCTTTTTCCTTGAGGTGTTGAACTAATTCTTCTGCAACGGTCACCATTACAATGTTCAATATATGACCATATAGCCACAAGATATATTAGGAGTCTTACCGTGGAGTAAATCTATGGGCTATATGAGATGCTAAGTGAGCATTCGCAACGGAACAGCGTAAGAAAGAGGGTTCCCGCGAATGACGGTATACCTTCCACTCATCCTTCGTCCAATGATGTTATCCTTGCAAAGTTTGTCTTGTTGGAGAAGAAACTCAAATACCTTCGCTTAAGGATTGGAAATGTATAAGAGTTGTGGTGACAGGGGCACTTTGCCCAAGATTGTGCTCAATTTGTTGAGCTGATGTTCGGACTTACTTTTTAGATGAGCTCCTATGATGTAAATGCATTGCACGTGTATCTGTCTTGGAGTCAAAATGATCCATACTAAAATATCTACAGCTTCGAGTGGAGAAATATCCAAAACCACTCATGGAACAATAAAAAATGAGCGTACGAACAACCACATCAACCACCTAGAGGAGACTATCCACCTCAGCCCCGGGAAGATTTCCAACCCTGCCCCGAATTTAAAGAATACCAACCACTGCGGTAGTTTAATCCCTCACAGAGATGTTTTGCCTCGAGAAACCCACTTTTACTCGAGCCGATGAAGGAGCAAAAGCATGAATCTTGAATCTCACGCATCGCCAACATGAAGGAATACATCCAAAGTCTTGCCACCACCATGTCTACCTTACACGATGCCATCAAGGGAGTTCCGTCGATTCAAGCTTCACTAAAATACCTTGAAACTCAAATAGGGAAACGAGAGATATCCATAGGCGAAATTCAAAGGGGCAATAAGGAGGATTGACTTCCTAGCCAACCCGAACAAGCCCAAGCAGTTATGATTTTGAGAAGTGGAAAGGTGGTGGACAATCGACTAAAAATGCCCGAAGAAGGAGTAGTCGAAGAAATTGAGAATAACGAGGTTGAGGAACAACTTGATATTTTAGTGGATTCATCAATATGAAAGGAGATGATGACAAGAAAGAGAAAGTGGTGAAGCCAAGTTCTGATGAACATGAGACTTTACATAAGCAGCTACACCTCGACCACTGATCCCCTACACAAGCAGGTCGACAGACACTAAGAAAAACCCGTTAATTAAGGGCCCTTTGGACATGCTCTCTAAGGTAAATGTTTACATGTTCTCGATGTCATCCGGAATGTCTCGATTTATGTTCAAATTTTCAAAGAGTTGGCTTCAAAAAGGAGGAGGTTAGAGGATAATGAGAATGTCTTGATATCCGAAGTAGCATCTACGACAATTACTCAAAAAGAATGCGATCCCAAAGGTTTATTAAGATTCCTATGGAAAATGAGAAGGAAATGACCGATATGCTCGGCTTGGGTGCCGATATCAATCTTATGTTGTACCCTATATTTAAGCAACGTGGGCTAGGAGAATTGAAGCCCAAATAAAGGTGTCTCCAATTGGCCGATCGTTCTCTACACTGCGTAAAGGACGTTATTGAGGATATCTTGATTCGGCTAGGAAATCTTGTAATGGATGAGAAAGTACATACCATTTTTCTGCCAATACTCATGTGATTGTCACTTACCCCTTGATGAAGAGAAGGATGATCTCAATCTCTAGGAGGAGGGAATAGTAGATATTGAAATCTCAAAGGAACCAAAGCTTGGGACATTACCGGTAAGCTTAAGGTTCTTCCTTCACATCTTAAGTACGCCTTTCTTGAAGAAGGGAAGAAGAAACCCGTAATTATAAAGACGGGGCTATCTCAAGAGGAAGAGCTTCTAGTGGACATGCTTAAGGCAAACGAGGAGGCTATCAGGTGGAACCTAAATGACATTAAGGGCATATGCCCAACCACCTGTATATACCCATCTGAAAAGGCCAGAGATGGCTAACATTAATTACACGAAAAACAGAAAACATAAGCATGACAATATGCAAACTCCAAGTTAAAACAAAGTTATATTTGCTTCTAAAAAAATCGAAAAAAAAAAATGCAACGTGGAGAAACATTATGCTATAAGAAAGGGATGACACTACTCGGGTTCCGAAAAAAATCACTTGCAAGTAAACAATACTTCCGATCAAAGGTGGCGCGGCGCATCTGTGTTCAGTTTCCATCTTCATTTGCACAAATCTAGTAGTTTCTGCCCACACCCAATACTGACAACAATGTTTGGCTACTGCAACTAACAGTGAAATATTAGGAAGTTAGATGAACAGAGTGTGGGAATAGATATACACTTGCGAGATGAGTCCATATACCACATAGCTTTCCAAGCAATTAATGTACTAAAATAACGTAAGGGAAACAATGAAATATTTTCCCAGCATCACTAAGCAAGGCAAACACCACATATAATATCTATGTAGGCAATAGTACCATTGCAAATAATTCTATTACCATTGCAAATAATTCTATATCTTTCCAGATGTAATAATAGTAACAAACTAAAAAAAACAAATCTTGTATCAGGAATGTGAGAGCCACTACTCATGATAAGAACCCAATGATTTATACAATGTTCAAGTCTTTAATGTGGACAATGATAATCGTTATATCATCTGTCCGATTCTCATGTTCTAACCACAATTTGTATGATTTATCAGCTATGGCAGAACAAGCTTCCCTGGGATCAGCATATTTATTGACCTGCATAAACAGTGAACACAAAGAAAATCAAATATAACCGAGGGTATAGAGAATGTTTATCTGATAATACTGCACACGTGGGTCTATAAATATGTATATTTATTTGACGAAGCTGAAGCAGGCATAGCGGAAATAAATCCTTTATACTTTTGGTGATAGCTATTAGATACTACTATGAATATACAAACTAAGCAAAAACCCAATGAGGGCAGTGATAGATCACACTTTCACTAAACCATTATACCACAGTGTCAATGCACTGTATTTCCAATCGACATCAAAAGCAACAAGCACAAAATTTGCACTAGAGCAAAACAAGGACTCATCATACCAACAAGCATTAAAAACTAAAGCAAAAGGAGAAAAAACATTTCTCTTTCCATATTAACAACTTTCACTAGAACCCTATCAATAGCTATTAATCTATCGTGAACGTGAATTTATCCAAGCATAAACGCAAAATTTCTGTCCCTACGTATATAAACTTCAAGAAATGTGCCTGTGTTGTAGTCAATTAACTTCTTCTGAAGCCATATATTCACAATGCCCAGCCAAACAAACAATTGCTTCCCATCTACTACCAAAACATACCATGTCCACAACTGTCTGGCTGGATAGAAACTCGAAAACCCCATCACTGGCGACCACGAAAAATGGATGCTCGGGTGTAAGAGTGACGGTCGACACCTCGGGATCTGCAACCACCCCAATCTTCTCCGCCATGCTGTCCCCGACACTCCTGGTGAAGGCCGTCCCTGGGTACATCCCATCCTGAACCCACAGCCTTGGTGGGTCCAACCCATCGGTCTCCTCATCCCCCCACGACTGTATCCCGGGGTCCTTAATCCCCTCCACCTGGTCCACGCTCAAAACCCTTGCCCCACACAGCTTCACCCTCTCACACTCATCCTTCCTGAACGGGGTCTGATCGCAAGACAGGTCCTGGGCAAGAACTCTGTCCCCTTCCCTGATCCCAAGCACGGCCCGCGAATCCCCCACATTGGCCACGTACAGTTTGTTCCCAATCACGAGGGCTGTAATTGCAGTCGTCCCACTCATGGAGTCATCAACCTCGCTAGTGTGGAGTTGGTCGTTGGTCGACAGAAAGGCAGAGCTGTAGGCTGTGATGGGGTCCTCAGGCAAGGACGGGTCCTCAGAGAGTATCTCGATAAGCCTGTCCTTGACGAAAGACGAGCACTGCGCCCCACACAGGCCGTGCCCGTCGAAAATCCCAAAGAAATGGGTGTTAGGGTTGCCCTGAACGGCGGTCTTCACGCAGTAGCTGTCCTGATTCTCCTTGTCGGGGGTTTCGGGGTAGTAGCCGCGGCGGCTGAGGGCGGCGTATGACAGCCGGAAATTGTGGGACGGGACGTAGACGGCGTCTAGGGATACGTTTTCGGAGGGCCCGTGGGCGTTGTTCAGTCCGGGATAGACGCCCGGTTTCTCATCCTCGTTGTCGCCGTCCGTCGTCGGCGAGCAAGTCCTGCAGCATTTGACTTGAATGCAACCCATTTTGCAGCAGAAATTGAGGAGGAATAAACTCACTGTCGCGCATCAATTGCTCGGAAAAAGTCCCGAGAGAAACCTAGGCAATAGGCATGAATATGGCTGCTAAACCTGAAGGAGTGAGGTGAGAAGACGGCCTAAACGGCTCCCCACGATACAACACTAGATGCGATTTGTGTAATACAAAACACACGGAAAAAGAAAAGGGCGGTTGTTTCTTGATTTTCAATTCGAAAAATCTGGTGAACGGAATAACCCAATCAGCAAGAAATGATGACAGAGGTAAAGGAATTTGGAGTTCACATTGGAAAGACGGAAAGACACGCAAGAAAATAGTTAACCAGTACAAGCTTTGGTTGTTTTTTATTTATTTATTTATTTATTTTATTATTATTAATGGTCTGATATCATTCTGAATTATGATAAAAATAAGTGAGGATTTTCTGAAATCAAATAAACATGGAAAGAGGTGGAGGTGGGGGTAGGTTCGGCTGGTCCCACACAGACAAAGATTGCATACTTTTGAGTTTTGACAGGAAGACTTTCGCCATGTTTGTTTCAAGTATTTGTTTATCATAATCTCTCAACGTGTGTGGTTAGATATAATGATGTGGTTATATATAAATTATTTTAGTTTTGATTGAATTTGTTAATTGATTATATTTAATTTTAGATAGAAATTGGTTGGGTAAGATTTTAAGTGAGATTTTGAATTTGTATTAAAAAAAATAATTAAAATAAATTATTCGATGTAAGAGTATGAGATATGTGATTGAAAGTAATGACTGAATGAATATTGAATTATAGTTGATGTGATGTATGAGGATTGATATGGAATACCATACCGGGTCGCCTAGATTTGAAAACCAAGCAACCAATACCGAACGGGATAGCTGATCGAGCTAAGGCTGTCAATCGACTTGAGTTAACGTCAGGTCGATATGGTCTTTTTGCTGGAGGTCGACACAAGCATATTGAACGGAAGAGTTAGACTTGACTGGCGGTTATTGGACGTGGAGGGACTTTGGTTGAGGGACGACCTCTGAGGTGGTACATGAGTTGAGGGGGAGGTATCTCTACTTGGTGACGTGGGGGTTGGTCATACGAGTAGACAACTTAAAAAGGAAAACCAAAGAATAAGAAGAAATTTTGTGGCAACATGAGCTGTAGATAACTCACTCCTATAAATAGGAGTGGGATAGCTTCATCTAGACATTTCAATCTCTACACACTTTATTCATATATTCTCTCTCTACAACTTTATCGTAGATTATCTTGAACGGGTACGGACTTAGGCATCAGAGGCTCTTCATGGAAAAATCCATCTTCCGGTTGTTGATACCTAATTTTGGTCCCGCTTATTACGATATTACATGTGAATATATGTATTAAATAAATATAAATAGCAGGTTCTTTTATCTGTTTAATATTAACCGAGTTTCCAGAAGACGAAGTCCGTATTCAAAAACCACCAGCTCGACCTTGATATCACAAAAGAAGCCGCTTATACAGACACATCAATTGCTGACAAGACAAATACCAATTGGAGTACCAGTCAATTTGTCAATCAATCCAAATATTTAATAATTGGGCCCTGCGCGGTCGTATTTATTTATTGGGCCCTGCGCGGTCGTATTTATTTATTGGGCCCTGCGCGGCCATGTTTTATCATTAGATATACAGGCCCATTACTCCAAATATATAAGGGCTGAGCAGATAACTACGGGGGACTTTTTCATCTTCTGCTTTATCCACACAAAAAGGAGGCACCGCCTCACCAAAAAAAAACTCTCCCCAATATACAAATAATTCTGCTTTTCATCTTCTTCTTTAATTTTTTTACAATTGTTCAGTACCAATATATCTCCCATAATTCACATAAACCATATGCCCCCTATTCACAAAAGGGGGGTGTACATTTTATGTTGTTACAATTTCGTGTAACAACACCGGTGTTGAGTTCTTATAGGTTCGGAGGCCGCTCGAGCTAGGTAGAGGAAGCTGATTACCCGTTGTGCTAGTTTGAATCAAGATCGAGCTTGTAACACGCTGTTTTTCATACCTTGAATTTCTCGAATAAATTTTTCTTTCTTTTAAAAACATTTGAAAGCTCAAGGGCGCTACTACTTTAAACTTAACATAACCTCGAAAAACTTTAAAACTTTTCATAGCATCACATAGACCATCGCATAATCATCATCAATCTTGCATAAATAAAACTTCATCTAATGCATATGAACTCAAACCATGTCTTGAAAGTAAACTTACTTAATCATAATCTTTAAAAATTTGAAATAACTTAAAGCAATAAAGCAAGTAAGCGATTTTATTTATTTATTTGACCACCCTCGCCATTGCTCCGTTGCCAACTCGATCAACCTGGGTGTGGAAAACAAATAGGGGTTGAGCATTTCCACTTACTCAGTGAGGAATACTTTCTACTTAAAGTATTCAATATAAAAATAAATCGTATGGCATTTACATATAACATGAATGATTATGCCTCGTGTCTTTCTAGCAAGTGGCCTTACCACCACAAACTAGAAACCTTTACCATTTCCATCTAGCAAGTGTTATTACCACCACAAACTAGAAGCCTTTACCATTTTCATCTAGCAAGTGGTTTAACCACCACAAATAATTAAACAAGCACATATCTCAACCATAGTAAAAGCGATTATAAGGAATGTAAAACATAGCATAGTTTCTCACCTCGTAATGCAGTTGGTTTGGTCTTTGAAAAGAAGCTTTAGACAATTGAGGGCTCGAATCCTCAACTATCTATGTTATTGGAAAACTGTATTTTAATGACTTATATAACATAACTTAGTCTTGATAAAATCAATTGACTTCTCTCTAGCCTCGCTTAAACCATTTTTGAAAACATACTCGCTTAAAGTTTTGGGACTCTTGAACTCTTAGCCTGCTTAAGAACACTAGATCTAATCATCTAAAGTTCAATCCAAATGTACACAATCCTACATGGCTCATTCGTGTCACGTAAGCATGCACGTTAAAGAGAATATTCGATTATGCGACTATACTTAAAACCTGACCAAATCTATCATGCGCAACATTTTTAAAACATGCACAACTCTCAGCACATAACTCATATTACCATGATTCAAGTCTTAAAATGACCGAAAGACATGCGGCTACAACTTTCATTAGATCAGAGAAGCAGTTAAAGTCATTCAAAAGGTGAAGAATCAGCTAACATTCTAAATTTAGCTTTTGTTAAAAACCTGGAACACAACGCATGCACAACTTCAGTACAACAAATATAACTTTTGCTACAGACTTTATATTGACATGATCCTTACACCTACAGAAGGCTAAGAGGCAGCTCTACAATTTTCTTCAAGAACACAAATTCACGTATGTAATGCCCCAGTATTTCAATAATAAATATGCTATAATTAGCCTCCGAGTGTAAGCTAATTCTTATTAATAAATGCTTGAGATTAGATTTTAAGAGTAAACTATTTAGTTTAAAGTTACAAGTTCAAGTTTAGAACGACAAGTATTCGGATTGGATTGAATATCAAAGCCAAATATATAAGCGAAAGTCTCGGTTTATTGTTTTCATTCATGAACTAAGAATAAATAGTATTAGTCGAGAAAGAGAATAGAATCCAAGTATACTCGAATGCTTATAGAAAATAGAGCTTTAAAACAAAGCCTAGTCGAGTTCGGCCGAACCACGACCCGAACCACTGCACACGGGACATCATTCACGCCCGCCCTTAGTACACTAGTGCAACGTAGACGGCCTAGCAGCAATGCGCAACCAAGGGAGCCCAACACCTCACCTCACTCGACCCAAGTCATAGACGAGCATCCCTTGTGTTGCTATAATGTGCTAACACTTCTTCGGCTCAAATTCTCCCGCGCACATCCTCGACCCAGCGAACCCCAGCGCAGTCCAGTGCGCATCCCAGCACATAGGCTATCAGCGCAGCCCAGTGCGCGGCTTGTAGCGCAGAAAGCGCGCGACCCAGCGCCAGCAGGGCCCAACCAATGCCCAAATCATTTCTAGAAGTTTTTCTTCGGGTAACTTGAGTATAGCCATGAGATAATTGCAGTGAAAGGTCAGAAACACCTCATCCTATCTTACATTGGCACCAAAACCAAGGAGGAAAGATGAGATGATAGGAAAAGTCTAAACTTTCATATTTTTAAGGCAAGTTGACGGGGCCTTCTTCATTTCTATATACTCCAACTCTGGAGAAATGCAGAGGAGATAGTAACATTTAAGAAAAATCATTAAATTTTAGAAAAATACGAGTATAGCCTAATAAGCCCCCTCTGAATCCTTAGCCGCGTACACCGCATTCACAGCGGGTCACCGGTCATCCTTTTCATGTTTTCCCGAGCCATACTTTGCTTGACGATTAAGTACTACCTAAGAGTCATCCTTAATCCATTTTCACAGCCGAGCATTCACCAAAACATTAATGTTGACGAGGAGACCCCGAGAAAAGTCCGAGAGCTATTCTTTCCTCACTTACTATTCTCAGAGAAGGTAAACACCTCTCAAACCCTCTTTCCTACTTAAGCACGATATTTTAAGGATTACCAAGCACTTAATCGAGACATGCATGAGTATCATGTAGGTTTTTGATTTTTTGAATTAGTTGAGCCCTAAATTCAGAGGTCTAATTTCCATGTGTGCCAAAGCCGAGTTTAGTACTCCTAAAATCATTATAAATCATGTTATGTAAGTTGGTAAGGTTTTAGCCTATTTGGAGGTCATGTACTTGATCAAATAGAAATTGAATATTTAGGCTGTTTTTGATCACCCGAGCTATGTCTTCATTCATGTGAGTTTTTGTCAAGTTTTTAGCACCTAAAGTCATGATATCTATAGGAAAGTATTCAACCTTACGTCCTATAATAAAAAGAGATAAGTGCCTCGGTGACCCTGAACCCCAAATAGCTTGATTTTAACTCCCGAGACATTTTAAAAATTAGCCGAATCATCTCGAATTTTTTATGTGTTTTTA